CAAGCCATTCTAAAACTATCACTTGCCATAAGAAAGCAAAGGTAACTGAATGACAGATCAAGTTGCACATTTAAGTGCTAATAACTACACTAGAGCGATTACTGAAACCAGAGCTGCACATTTAAATGCTAATAACTACACTAGAGCGATTACTGAAACCAGAGCTGAAATTTAATTAAAAGATGTAACATACACACTGTTTCCCTTGCAAGAACTTCTGGATCTTCCAGCCCTCTGGGTTGCTTATACAAATCTGCATCACAACAGTTTGCTATAGCAGCACACAAATGCTTGAATCCGTCTAGGCACTGCACCATGATCTTTTCCAGACGTCAAAACACTCCATACCTGGAGCAAAGAGAGAGCCACTTCAATTACGCACTCTAGCTCAAAAGACTGTTGATTCAGCAAGCAAGAAACCAAGAAAACAAACGAGAATAATCTGTAACGGTATACTATTTTATGTATTTCAAATTCTATCATAGCTATAATTATGGAAGGTGTGTAAAAAGTATCATACAAGTTCAGTTAACTTGAGAGAAGGAAATAACCATGTCAACAAACTTCCCTTTACTTGTATGTGGATGAGTACTTCAAGGCAACCAAATCATATGTATAGGAAATTAGAGAGTGGATATACCATAACACAAACAAGTTGCATTTCATCAAACTTCCAAAGTAAATTCAGATCTGTTAACGGGAGTTAACTAATTTAGTTAAAAAAAAAAAAAAAGAAGAATAAACTTCTGACTTTTCAAGTTGACATGCTTTGGATACGTTGAAGAGAAATAGGAACATGCAATCAAACATGTGCGCATATATTTAGGAACACGTAATCAAACATGTGCATATATTTTAACACAATTCTTTAAAACACTTTGATTTTTGAAATTGGATAATAATTACAGAAGTATAACCATGAATACATTTTTGTATATTATGAATTTGCCGTTTAAAATAAAACAGTGGGCATCCCTTTCTGATATGCTCAACTTAAGAAAATAAATTAAAGAAAACAAAATCAGAATCTTGTAACTTTTATCAAAGCCTGCCAGAATCTAATATTCATTTATTTCCCTTTTCCTGCATGCAATTCAAGAATACCAAGTCATTGTAGCATTCCAACACACAACGAAACAGTACGCTCTGCTTCTTCTGTCACAGAGTGAATTAAGGAAACACCAGAATTATAAAATACAATCAATTCAGAAACCAATGGTTATTTTCTGTCACCTGCATCGTATTGGCTGCAAGTAATCATAAATGCAACATGACCTGCAAATACCAATTTTGTTGCCAAGTGATTTAAATGGCACAGAAACATCAGAGACTAATCAGAATATGATATTTCCTTCCGTTCTCTATATCTCCTTTAAATAAAACAAAACATATAATCTTATCAGACAAGTGACAACCAATTCAACTCTTGATCTAATATGCAACAAATGAAACCAATATTCTCAATTTTTCTCACCAAGAAACTTAACAGGAGAAATATTTGAATTTTCTAATGCCATTAAAAACCTGGAAAGAATCTGAAAGACCTTTTCCATTTCCCATCTCTCAGGCAAAAAGTTGAGCACCGTCCCAAACTTCAGGATGCTGTTATCATAGAAGATGCACACACGCAGCATCAACCAGCTTAACTTGCATGATTATAAGTTAAAAACCTAGAATGACAATTGCACGGTGCTCGAAACCATATATTCAAATACCATTGAAATCTTTTTCAATGGGAAGTTCAGATGACTATAGGACAACAATGGGAGTTTAACATCTATTCTATTCACTAGGAAAAATACAAAGAGACTATATAGTAAAATAACTTGTTAATAACACCATCTACACTTATGTTTAGAGAATAAGAGCGATACAGCATGTGAAAATACTTAATGTTTACTCTGAGCTGAACAGCCAACATCCAGAGCGTTCTCCATCTTACTACCCCAATGAAGTGTCCACAACCTAAAAAAACTAATACAAAAAATTTATCCACCCCTTGTATAATTCATGATAAGAATCCAAGGCCATCTAAAAAGGTGAGGGATTGATTTATTAGGGACTACAAAACAGTTCAAATTTGCTCCTATCAGATCAACCTTTTAAGGGTACCTCAACAATCCTTTGAAATAAACCCTTCAATCCTGCTTTTGTTTTAGAGGATCAGAATTCAAGCTTGGAATGAATTCTTTCATTATGAATTCAGATATGATAGCAAAAATCACCACCAACAACAATATTGAATAGCACTGAACAAAATTTACACAGTATCTGAACAACAAATTCAAATTCCATAAATGTCTTTTCAGAGGAAAGTTCTGATGACCATAGGACAATGATGAGCGCTTAAGTTCTATTGCCTGGGAACAAGACAAATTACATAATGGTATGTTTCAATCTTGGAAACCCTATCTACAGCTATCTCTAGAAAAAGTAAGACATCAAATGAAAGTACTCATATGTTTAAAATCCCGGGAGCTTGCATCACACATATACTCTTGCCTAACAAGAAACACTATTAGAGACTAAACAGCCAACTTCTAAAGCGTAACACCATGCTTACTATCTCACTGAAGAGCCTTTAACCTAAAAGAGCTAATATCAATATTTATTCACCATATCAACAACTGAAAGGCCCTTATTAGGTGGGGGATTAACTTATTACGGAATACAAAAATAGCTAACCTACTATCTTAACCTTTCAAGCATACCTCAATAATCCTTTGAAATCAATCTTGTGCTCCCACTTTTGTTTCGGCAGGTAAGATTTTACGTTCAGAAGAAGATTGTTACTAACCAATCAGGACTCATAGCAAAATCCAATTCCAAAATCCATATTCAATTAACATGAATCAAAAGATGTGACCACGTCTAACTATACATACCAAAAAAGCAAAGGCCATGATAACAGGTACAAACACCAATTCATCAAATGTATTACATCTAACCGATCCAAAAACCCAAACTTTCTGATCCGACAACTCCAATGCCATCATAAAAATTGAAACTTGAGGCACAAACCACACACAACAAACAATTTAATCAATATCCCACAATAGATCAAGCAAAACCCAGAAAAAAGATTATGACTTTTAAACAGAAATCAAATCACTATCCAAAATTTAAAAAAACAGAAACAATGAAGAGTTGATGGAAGGAAAACAAAGAAACAGTTGAAATGAAAAATAAAGAAAAAGACTTTACCTTTTAGGAAAACAAAGGAGAGGAAAGAAGGAAAGATGAGGAGAAGTCAAGATTCTTAGACATTTCTCTCCCTATTCCTCTTTCCTGCTGTAGTTAAGTTTTTTTTATTAGTCTTTTATAACTATCTAGAGAGAGAGAGAGAGAGAGAGAGAGAGAGAGAGAGAGAGAGAGAGAGAGAGAGAGAGAGAGAGAGAGAGAGAGAGAGAGAGGTGGTGTTTTTGTTTTTGTTTTGTAAAGCAAAGAGGAAGGGAGTGATTGTGATTTTTTCAATTTAATTTAATAAATTGCAAGAGGCAAGACAAGACATTAAAATTCAAGCACCAAAAATGAAAGGAAGGGGATGGTCTTGGTCTCGGTTACATTTAGGTCAGAGCAGGCATGGGGCAGCCAAAAATGGAAGCCAAACCAAGCCGGCTTCAGTTTATGACAAGGTCTTTGACACCCACACACACATGGATTTACAAGGTTGTTGGCTCTCTTTTCTCAGCTATGGTCAGGGCTACTTGCTAATGTTTTTCTTGCAATTGTGATGTTTTAGGCAACGTTTTACTTGGATTCACATTTTTTTAAGTGTTTTTTAAATAAATTCTTGCCATGATTTTTTTTAATATGTGCTTTTTAAATGATTTTTACATAAATGTATCAAAATTATAAAAAAATTACTTAAAAATAATGGTTTTTCCAAGAATGTTAGTGTTGAGTCAAGTTTTTAAAAGTAAATTATGTATGCATAAAGAGACAAATTCGAAGCCAATCAAATAACCAAGTACCATGTTTAATGTTAGTCTTTGAATCTTGAGATGTTGGCAGAATGATGAGAGAGACTTGTTCATCACATGTTATTTATCTTCAATGTTTCCACTTCCGATACAAATCAAGTATATGAATTTGGGTGTGAATGGTATTTCTAGGATTTCATGATGAGAAAATTCTAGTCTTGTAAGCATAAAATTGGGTTAAGAATAACCGAATGATAGACAAGGATGCAATGAATTTGAAGAAGAAATCAGCAACTTCTTAACCGAATGATAGACAAGGATGCAATGAATTTGAAGAAGAAATCAGCAACTTGAGTTCCAGGCTTCAAATTTTAATTAAGTTTCTAGTACTCTTTGTTTTCTTTTGATTCTCCTTGTTTACTGCAGTTATGAGTTTGATCTTCTCCACACATTCACCACTAGCACTCAATCAAGTGAATAAATGTTTGTTTCCAAACTGGCAGCATAGTGATTAGATGGTAATAATGGAGAATGTGCTTCCTCCTTACTCTTAGACTGGTGGTGATGGAGTTGCGGATTCTGATAGCATTATCATCATTCGTCATTTGAATTGAGTATGGTTATGGTTATGGTTCTGATGGCAATGGCCTGGATTGAAAAATGCATGAACAAGAACCAAAAGGGTGTAAAATGGGGGGATTCAGAGTGGCAGCCATGACCCTGGACGGACCTGGAGCACTCAGCAGTCCCGCATGATAGCTTTTTGTAGGTCTTGGATGTCAAGGAATCAGAAAGAGGATTTGTCCGGGCATGACAGCATATACAGCACAAGGCTGAACCGGAAGCCAGGAGAGTGAACTACCTGTGTTGAGAATTCGATCAAGCTTTCCCTTTATGACAAAAGGAGCTCAGGCTTGTACGGGCTTGGATCTTGATTTTAATTTTGATTCAAGATTAAAAAAATGGGAAAGAAATTGCTACTGCTCTTCAATTCTCACTTAAGCCGGCCTGTCAGCTTCTTAAGCCAAGTTTCTTTTACCTAGTTCACCGAGATCAGACCACATCAAACCAGCTATAGATCATACGAACTGTTTGATTAATCAGTAGTAATTTGACATTGCAAATTAACCAGTACAAATATGGCATATAGTTGATGTATCAAATCAAAAACAAACAAAAATGCAATCTGCATAGAGCTTTCAACTCTGTATAAAAGATTACTAACACAGATGGATAAGCTAAACTTAACCCATTCTTTTTTTCTTTTTTATATAGAAAGAACATGATTCCAACAAGAAAAGAGAAAATTGATCGGGATGGTCTAAATTTATCTACCTGTCTCTACTTTTATCACGGCTATGGTCTGATCCACTTCTGTTTTTCATCATCTTTTTGGCATTAATCTTGCTTCCTGAGCTTCCTCCATCTTTAGTTTCTACTTCCTCTATTTCTTCCCTCACCACCTTTTTCTCTGACTCCAACGCTATCTTTTTATCTGTTCTCTTCATTTTTTGATGATTTCTTGAGCTGCTTTCGGATGGTGCTGGTGTTTTCCCTATTCCCTCCAGTGGGGTGGTTTGTTCATGCTGTTCTAATTGTAGCTTACTTAGCTCGTCCCTCACTAACGGTATCTGTTTCCCTCTGGAGAGTAGTTGCTCCTGTGCTGACATTCTTTGATCATTTGCCCTCGAGCCTTTGTCTTGTTCAAAGAATAGGACTTGCACGACTGTTCTCAATGGCAGGCGCTCATTCTTTACAGCATGGGTACGGACTTCTGGCGAGAGTTTTTGGCAGTCTAGAGGCCTGCATAGACGCTTCTTATCTGCCTTGCTCAGTTCAGGATGCTCCTGTTTGAAAATGAATGAATGTGTGAATGGTTTGAAGATCAGAAATGAGAATACCATGATAATGAACTTGCTGAGAGCATTAGGCCATGGAAAGTTTTGCAAGGGCTCAACAAGTCCTGAGCTTTATATTATATTAAAGACATGCTGCATATAGCTCTTTACCTTGAGATAAATGTTGATTCCCTTGTACAGGTCATCATGATCTTTCCTAGCAATATCTGGCAAAGCTTCAGCAACAGCTAAAACTTTTGATACTGGTAAGTTGATGTCTCTAGCAACCACTTGAAGGTAAGTGTCAATAAGCTTTCCAATCTTTCTAATTGATCTCATAGACTGGGAATTTTCGATAGGTGCAGGTGATGTTCTTCTCCATAGCAGCAAGAAACTGTCCAGCACTGCTGCAACCAAGTCAATATCATAATAATGTTGATTGGAGGATGAATGTGTAGGAAATAGCAGGTCGCTAACTGTTGCCTCCTCTAATTGCAGGCTAGATCTCCTTATAAGTTCTGTCTTTATCATTGCAGATGCACCTAGGTGACTTGCAATGCTAAGAAGTCTTAGCAAGAAGCCAACTGAAACTGACCCTTTATCTGCTGGAATCATAGTCACAATGATTTCAATAATTTTTCGATGATTTTCTGCAACATCGTCAGTCTGAGACACTGAGCTCTCTGGAGGTGTAATCTTTGTAGCATCCGGTAGCCAACGACAGGCATAAACATGTAAAGCTTCACCAATGAGCTGTGGTGGGAGCATATATGTTGATTTAATAGCTATAATTATGCATCGGAAAAGGTCTATGTCAAGATCGGATATGTCCTCCGTCCACCAATCCTTGGGAACAGATTGCTGCTGCTTGTTGAACCCTTTTCTAGTATAAGTGTAGGACCATGTTACCTGCAAGGAAAAATGACTTTAAGATGATTTTCCTGAAAATATTTACTAAATTAAATATTTTTTTTTCAATTTCATGAAAAAATGAAATTGCTTCTGTAAGGGATTTGTTGACCTTTGCAGGGGGTGTGAGGATTTTTTCAACAATTGAATCAATGCATCTTCTGACGATTCCGAGGTTCTCTGACCACTCTGTCAACTTGACTGTTGTCTGTAGCGTGACAATGGAGTCCTTCCAACCTTCTAGAATGCAGGAATTAAAGAAGGACTCAAGTTTAAGGACAAAATTTCCCTTCTCGACAGCTTCTGTCATTCGAAGGAACTTTGCAGCACAAAATGCAGATACAAAGTTATGAGCACTGAGGTTGATTGTTATTCCATAACAATATTTAGCACACAGCTCAAAAGCATCTTCCCCTCCAGGGATATCATGCAGCTCTATTGTAACAGTATTTGAATCTTCAGAATCTGTACATAGCCTCTGTAAGAGGCCACACTTCGGTAGAAGTGAAAACTGCAGCTAAGAGCAGTAAAGCTAGTAAGAATCCAAGTCATCTTGGATGAATTTAGGGTTCTAAAAATCAACAAATGCAGATTAAAATAGTGAAATTGTACTTTACATGCCATGGAAAATACAAAATTATATGTTTTTCCCCATCTCTTTATGCTGTATGAATTGTATGCAATGTTAAAACATATTATGAATGTCTAGCATGAAAGTTGACATCAGTGAAGATGCATCTGGGACAAAGATTTCATTTATGTCCTTGGCTAAATCATACCTGATGAAGAAGAAAATTGATGTTATTGATTCGTATAACAAGGTCACTAGTTATATCTGATATCACAGACCTGCATTGCAAAAGTAACATGACTGCGTACAGCTCATACCTGATAGATGCAGCTTTAATTGATACAGAAATTGGTGATAGATCAACATACCTGGTTGCCTCTTCTGTAAAGAAGGTATCTGGCCGTGTCCCAAGTTTCATAAACTTCATTTTTGCGATTTTCTTTTCGTTTGATCAAAAGATAGTGAGAGATTCTAACTTCAGAACAATGGAGCATGCCCTTTTGAGATCTCACCTGAAATAAATCCAGGATGTGTTTAATCAAACAGGCAGGCGTATCAACAAAATTTAGAGGTGAGCGAGGTACCATAAATGAAAAGGAATACCTTTAGAAAACTACTCTGTAATTAGACATTGAATTTGTCCATGGAAAAAGAAAAATTTGTAATGAATTTTTGTGTATCAGACAATATTAAGCAATGCAATCTGATATATTCATTTTTTTTTCCATTAGTAACAGCAGAAATGGTAATTCATTCATTCTAATTCCTTTTTTTCCAGAGCAGATTCTAAATGAAATGTATCTAAAGGAAGGGCGTGCATACAGAAGAAGGCCAGGAAATTTGTCCTAAAATAAAATAAAATAAAATAAAATAACTCTTTATACATCATTTTTCACTCGAAAAAAAAAAAACAAAAATGAATTACTTGGTGCTCCCTGGAATTAAATTGGAAAAATCAAAGCCTGAGAAAATGTTGGAAAAGATGTCAAAATTAAAAAGGAGAAATATAGTTGAAAAAAGAAAGAAAAAAAAGAGCGAGCTCTCAAGAAATATTGAAGTGAATTAATGCATTCTAGTCACCAATTAAGGGAAGAAATTGAGAGAGCTTTTAGGACATACTCACAATGATTGCCAAGGCAAAAGGGCAGTAATCTAACAACTTCATCAACACATGAGGCAGCATTTAATTTTGAAGAAAAAATTCATCACCATGTAGTGGCTTCACAGATATGGCCAAAATTATCAGAAAGATGGGGAAGAAAAGGAGAAGAAACTGAAATGGTGGAAGAAGAAGAAGAAGAAGAAGGGATCATGATTTTTGAAAGACATGTCAACCCACGTAACTGTATAGCTTTAGCATGCAAAAGTGTTAAACGCATAGAATCGATCACTTTTAAAATGTAAATGGCATGTAGGCCTTACCTCGCCTAGCCTTTTTAATCCAACAAGGGCCCAACCATCTTCAATGTTTCCTGTATAAAACTCTACTAGACAAGCCCTCTAAGTCTAACAACAGAAGTTTTGGAGTTTTACCTGCAAGAAAATAGAAGAAAGAAAACACAGATGATTCAGTCAGTTTTTCTCTACTGTCAAGCTCTTAAGAGAGAAGAGGATGGTTCTATAAGAAGAGTCTTTACAGGAAACAGAAAAAGAAACAATAGCAGTTTCTTTGACCACCCTACATGCAAAATGGTCTCTAGTTTATATCTTTGACATGTGCATTAAACGTTAATTTGGTGGTTGAAGTTTATTAAATGCTTCTTTTGCAAGGCAAAACCCCTCACTGGTTTACAAGTTTAGGCATGGATTTTTGTACTTCTGTTAAAATTTTGACAGATATACCTCATAAGAGACTGAAGTATACTACCTGATATTCCGGTGGTGTCGGATTTGGCAGAATCCAAAACCCCTTTAAGCAGTAAATGTATGGCTGTGCCTCGGCAATTACCTCACCAACCACAACAGTCCACAACCTTTCTATATGTAGTATAATAAAATGACAATATACATATATATATATATGTATATATATAGGTAATTTCTATTTTATAGTAACAGATGTTGTGTAAGTAGTCTCGATGCATGAAAGATGGTCCGATGACACCCCCGTCAAGTAAACTTTACAAAGTTCAGTATTGTAGTCATGTTACAAATGGAAGATCCTGAGAATTGGTGACGAAACACTAAAGTCTCAAATATTCCTTGTCAAAAGGAGATGCTTGATAATTTTGGCTGACAAAATCCAACTCATAATCCATGCTTGGAATAAGAAAGGATGAGCAAATACCTACCATAACTGTGTTGATGCTTGATGGCTCCCAATTAGATGGCCGAAGTATGTCCTCAAGCTTATTTAGGAAATGGAAAACTAAAGTGATTCTTGGCCCCTTATGGTTTGCAATCAAATCAAAGCATACAGTCCATATGTACATGATGGAGCTGTATGTCTAGCCACTTCAGCCATCTATGGACAGATCTAAAAGTATTGGTGTCTTGGTTATTTACTCTTTGAAAGGGGCCATTTCATAGGCAACAAAAGTTTATTCTTTCTTAAAAACAGGTAAATTTTCGGCTTGAAAGGGTAACATATAGATCTTCCAATTTAACCAAATTGAATGGGAAGTAGATTTGTGAATCTGTCGACACCTTGGAATTGAATGTAACGGTTTCTTGGTCTTAGTTTCTTTACGGTTAATCTTTTTTGGTCAAGGGCAATAACATAGAACATTAAATCCTACACCGACCCTACTCTTGCAGCAGGTGACCACTCAATGGCTCTAGGGCATACCACAACAAACCAAGAAGAGGATGGTATTGTGGACTGAACTCTACAGCTCAGGGAATATAGATTGGTGGCAACAACATAACCAGTGTTACCTAGCTTAATTGGTACCTGAAGCCATAAATATGAAGTAAATGCTGCCATATATATTTGGTGGCATGAAGTCAGAAAGATAGACAGATACTGCATGCAATCAAATCTCTTTAAACCATATCTTATAAAAAACATGGATGACATCTAAGAAGAAAAGGACACAAACTTCCATCATTATGACTTGGAGATTTTGATTTAACTTTCTCTAAGCAGGATGACTAGTGCAGAATCTAAGCTGATATGCTTTCGATGATCTTTCCTATTGTACAGCAGCCCGAATATCCTTCCAAACTAATGCTAGACAGATGGAAGGTGAACCAATTTTTCTGATTTCCTCCATGGTAATGATATCACAGGTTGGCTTGAATTTGGTTCAATATCATACTTGAAAATAAAAAAATGTTCTCCCTATCCCTCATCTAGGAAGAGAAAACTGTACCTTTAGGTATTGGTGGTCCAGATAGAATGAGATGTTGGTCCAGGTGCCTTTAAAATTGGTTGAAATCTAACCTAGTGGTCTGTCAGGCAACAGATATGGAGGTAAAAGAGAAACACAGTGGTAATGTAGCACAACACCAGGTACTTGAAGCTAAAGCCCTAAAAGAACTTTCTTCTAAACACCATATAATATCAAAAAAAAAAAAAAAGGTGAGCCGTGCCTATGCCAATACAGAATCATTAATTGTCATCCAATGTGATACTGCGCACTTAACCACTTATGTTAACGAAATTGATAAAGGAACTTGTCTACAAGGTCCCAGAATGTTTTTATAATTTTCTCCTTGTCCATACTCTATTGGAATTATTTAATAAAAACATACAGTAAAGTTTCTTTTTTCCATAATTTTTTTATCCTCTAGCTAGCCAAAGCATGGCAGAATCTCTCATATCTGCTTATAACAGAACAAAAAAGCGCCTTGAGCTTTTGTGTTTTGGCTATTGAGTGGGGGACAATAATATTGACTCGAGCAGGTTTCTGTCAATCAAGTCACCCTAATTTTTCCCATTTTACCAACTTAATTATCTACAACTGTACATCATCATCATCATCAATAAGACTGGACCAAACATAGTTGTTCACATAATGAAGAAGGAAGCATGTGCAAGTACATATCAAGAAGAGTGTACATACCAGCAGTGGTTTGATTTCAAGCAAGCAGCAGCAGAACCATTAATTACAAGTGATGAAAAAGCTGCAAATTTTATTCTTCGAACTTGGACTGATATAATAAAGGCAGCAAGGATATAGCACTGTGGGAACTTAAGAATCAGGAACAAGCATGTGCCCATCAGAGTACATGAACATGAGAAGCACATATGTGATGTTCAAGAAATGACTAAAAGGTTCCATGCATGTAATCCTACTGGTTGAAGGGAGAGGAAGAGGTTATGGTAGTGTGGGTTTCTGTTAACTCAACTAGCAAGACAACACACGCTCACAACAACTAAAAGAAGAGAAAATGAGTCTCTTTCCTTCCTCTCTGTGTCTCACCTCACCAAGACTAGTGGAGGGTAGAGAGAGGGAGTGGTTGGTTGGGATTAGTCAACATGGTAATGTATCAAAAGCATATTATGATAGAACATTTAGAAAAAGAAAAAAAAGGAAGCGAGATGAGGTAGCAGGCAGCAGGCACCAATCACCTTCTCTCTCTCTCTCTCTCTCTCTCTCTCTCTCTCTCTCCCTCCTCTTCTCTTTATTAATTAACATGCTAGAAATTGGTCTTCCATGATTGATTTCACAGAAAGCATGCAAATGCAAGAGGCTAATGCTTATAACTACCAAAAGAGTGCTTTTCTTATTACTCTTTCAAAACTTATCGATGGTTTTTCTATAGTTTGCTGCGTTTTCAACTGTATTTCAAGTTAAAAGTCATATATATTTTTTCTAATGTTTTTTTTTTCCCTGACTTGAACCTTAGTTTTCACTGCGTAGATAAACGGAACCGTGATCCAAAGGGTTTGGTTTTGTTCATGGTTTAAGACTATTTTTCTTCATTGTGAAGCCTTAAACCTTAAATTAAAATCATTTTCATGAATTTCTTACTCCAATATAGATGGTTTCTTCCCCTTTTGTCAAAACAAAAATACTTACAAATATGCAATTTACATTTTCTCTTGCTTTTGATTGAATAAAAATATAAATTGAAGTCCTAAATTAATCAAGCGGGACCAAGCAAAGTAAGAAAGATCCACTGTGCTATACCTCATCATTCCTCTCTCCACTAGCTTAAGGATATTCTCTTCTTTCTTCTAGTCTTCACCTTGATTTGCATGTCGGCCACGTGTGTTGTCTTTGTGCCGTTGGTTTCCTCTAGTTCCTATACCAGTCTGTGGTGATGGGATTGGGCTGCTTCGCATTGTTGGTTGTTTTGAAGGCCGAACACCAGACAAGCCTTTCTCTTCAATGTGATGATATTATCTGCTGCTTCAAATTTCATGCGTGTAGGTTTCTTAATCTCACGTGTGTTTCTTTGTGTCAATCTCTCCTCTCCGCTTCTTTTTGTTGCTTTGATTTCAAAAAGATTGTGTTTTTCTGGGTCCATCTTGCTACCCCATTCACCACTCCATGTCCATACAAGGACAGAAAAGTTGAAGATGATGTGATGGGTTTACTGTTAATTAACCTGCTTTTTATGATTCTACATCTGCTTAATTAATAACAAAAGCACTGCTGATTAAGAAATACAAGACACTTTGGTCTCTAATTTGCTGACCAGAGCAGCCTAACTCAATGATGTCATGACAAGACACTGATGATTAACATTACATATCACCCTAATCTATTGCGTGTTCACCATCATCACAGTATCCTTCATTACTCTTGATTTAGTTTCCCTTTTTTCGAGAATGTCTGACCAGCTAGCTTGCTAGACAGGCGGTCATTTCCCCGGTTTAAATTGTGTTTAGCTGGACGGAAAAGGTGTAAGAAATAATGTTTTTTCAAGCAAAATATGTAACTTTGACGCGTTGTCGACAAACGGACACCCTTACGCTACAAGTAAATACATCTCCTTGGCCCTGCATCATCCACTCCTTGATGTGCTTGTTTATCATGTATAATGCTAATAATTATATGAAGCAGAGTGGTCATTATACTTGAATTCTCTGTTTGCCAACAAGCGAATGAACCTTGATTGATCAGGTCACCTCATGCTTTATTAAGAGGGATGTATATTCAAGCTGCTATGATCTACCAAAGAGAAAAGGAAATTAACTCCATTCTTCTTAGTTGGAATAAAAGGTTTTGTTGAAAAGACTAGTCTTTTTCTCATTGCTTCCTTCATGGTTACAGAAAAAAGAAGTGGTAACGAATCGAACTCCGACCAACCAGAGAATCTATCAAGCTAGCCATTTCAACAACTTGGATCCTTTGATTTTGAGGTTCCCATGTCGGCCGCGAAAAAGATGATGCTAAGTGGCCACTACTGACCATCAAGACTTTGTTCATCTACGTGGTATGGTAATGCTGCATTTTAATCTGAATTTAGCTTGAAAAAATATTAATTTTTTATGTTTTTTCAAGCCAGAATAGATAAATATAGTATATTGTTTGAACGGAGTGGATAAACATACCCTGAATCCACAGGAAAAAAAGGCCTTGATTCCAAGAAAAATTTATTCATGAACAGAAAATTAACATGAATCAATCATGGATGTATCATCAATAAGAAAAGCCTTCAAGAAAATAAAAACATTCTTAGAGGCCATGATAACTACACTGTTGAAGAAGTTATGTGTCAACCTAGGTTACAATGAAAGGTTAGGCATAGGTAAGAAACATAGGGTTTAAGAATGCCACTAGTCAATCTCTACTCTATACCGTATGGACCTACAATACTGTCCCGTGGAAGAGTAGAGTAGCCTTTCTTCCCACATTTGGGCAGTCAATATTAGTTGATGCCACCGCGCATTGTCTTCTATTTTCATTGCGTCTATGGTGGCAAGTAGGCCTCGCATTTCTTTCTTCATCAATGAAATTTGAATCCCATGTCATATCTATGCATCTATAAGCAGTATCCACGGGGCCATCTCAGTGTATTGCCCTAAAAAACGAACGCTGGCTCTGGGCTATTGCTCCTTGCGTTAAGCAATAGCCCAAAATCTTTGGCATAATTGGATTGGCTCTCTGAAGAGAATTGGGGGATCCTTTCCTTTCACAGTAAAAATAGAGCTGTCAATTACCCAATTTTTTGGGAACAGCAATCTAAACTAGCTAGAAATTTTATCACTATATATGTGAATATGATGCAAACCAATATGCTTGGAGTGGAAACTATGATGGCATTCAAAAAGTAAAGGACCCTTAAGTGTTGCACAATCATTTTTTCCCTTGCATGGATTCTCGAGCTAATTAAGATAATGATAACATGCACAGTAAAGTCAATAGAATGCTTTTCAACACTCGCAATTACCCTTACGTCATTTTCATGCTCTGGACAAGGGCACCCTTTTGAACTCGATAACATGTAACTTCTACTTTTTAACTTCTTTCGGTTCAGTTTGTGATCACTACTATGAAATTTGGAGGAAAAGAGAACAATGAGCTTGAAATTTACTTGAGAGAATGAAGAGAATAGGAAAGCAAATTTTATTTTCTGAAACAATTCTTTAGTCTTCTGTCCTTGGGATGAATTTAGATAACCCAGGATTTTGTGTTCATCACAAGAGGAGCTATGATCTTATCTTACCTTGTGCCATTCAAAACAATTTCCAGGGCCGCCAAGGAGTTTGAGAACATGAGGAAATGACAGTAGTCGAGGAAGCCCATGCTGTCTCGGGAGATAGAGATTGTTCTACTGTCAGTACCTTAAACAAATTAACATGAGTTTCCTAGTCACCAGGATGCAAAGTACAAGCACAGCAAGTAGGACCTGAATCACCACAAGAGAGTTTGATAACCAGCTAAAAAATTTGCCAAAGCTTAATTCTATTCCATTTTGTCTAGATTAACCCAAGCTTGAAGGCTAAAAGGTGCTAGTGAGTTACAAAATATAACCCCAGATAGGCAGTTGCCATTACAAAGAAACAATTGCTGATAAATTCCAAATTACAAGGGGGAGCAATGGCCTCTTATACCTGTTACCTCAGGACATCGTCTGGCACCAATGTCAAACACACTGCTGCTTTCCAGTGCACAAAACAAAACAATTAGAATAAGCAACATGCTCCCTCACTTCAACTAGTCACCAAATAAATCATCATCATCGTTGTCATCATAAGCGCTCTGGTTATTTTCAGGTTTTCCACTCAAAGTACCAATAGCATTCCCCTGGCCATCTTTTGTTGGAGAAGCTAGATTACCAGCAGAACTATCAGAAGAATATGCCCAGGAAGAGCCCACTTTTCCAGCAAATGATTCTCCATAAAGATCATCATACATCCCACTTTTTGTAGTAGTTTTGACCTTATTCAAGACTTCTTGTAATCTACTAGTCACTCCTTTTTGGGAAGCATTATGTTCCTTTGCTGAGAATTGTTCCTTACCTTTGGGTATTACTGTAACCTGTACAAGAGACTCGTATTTTCCAACAAGGCTTCCTTCTTTTACACCTATTGGACCAGGCTCTGTTTCTACATCTGCACCATCTGAAAAACCAACAACTTGAACCAGCTCACCGCCAACTTGATCCCTGAAAGCAACCCTTGTCTTTTTTATTCTCTTAGCAGCTCTCCCCAACTGCTGGCCATCATGTCTTCTGCTTAATGAGCCACTTGATTCACTCGATTTAGTTGGTTGATCAGGCTTAGTTAGACCATAACGATTCAGAAAAGTATTATATGCAACAACAGCTTCTTCATCAGATGGATCAGGTGGGGGTGGTAGGTTAATTTCTGAGGGAGGTGGAGGACGAGGAAAAAGAGCTGCATCATTCTTTCTCAAGATATAAGTTCGTGTTGATGCAGCAAACCGCAAAGACTGCCCCGCTTCCAGTTCAACAGGGGTATCTTTAGTCAAACGTTCATTTGCCACAAAAGTACCATGTGCAGACCCCAAATCAATTACAAAAATGCTGCAGAGCACATGAATTTTGAAATTTGTGAACTTAAGAAAGCTATAACGAACATTAATGCATTGCCAATCCAGATCATCTAGCTATAAACCTTCTCCACAATTGACTTTAACTTCATAATCTTGATCCTTGGATGAGAAAAATATCAACTGTGAAACATACCAATAGCAAAAACCAATCTAGCTTCCATTTCACAGTTAAAATCAGCAATTACTATTTGTTTCTACTTTGTCAGTATTATTATCTTGTCCGTGTCATACTTGCACCTAGCAACTACATGACAATAAAAGCGCAGGTCAACCAACATTAAATGAAAAAACTGTCAAATTCAGCATATCAAAGCTTAATTAAGGATGCTTAATACATGGAACATCATGGCCTGTAACTTCTATGATGACACCTATAAATATTGCAACAAGGTTACAATGCAGAATTAGACAGAACCAAAACTTGGAGGCCAAGTAAAACTGCATCAATAAAAACTAGAGCAAAGATCTAACCTTCCATTCTTGTGAGGAATGACAGCAGCATGCTGGCGTGAAACGGACTGATGATCAAGCACAAAATCACAAGTGTGGATTTGCCTCCCGAAGATATGCCTCCGCCTATCCAAACTAATGCGATCAAGAACCTCTCCGTCCTTCAAAACCTCAAGATAATAAACTCCAGGACGAGGCTCAATCGCCCAGTCTGGTGGCTGCCAAGTTGACTGCCCTCCTCCAACCTGCGTCACCGGCTGAGTATGCCCTAGCAATGGTCCGGCCTCCGGCACAGCAGGTTTTTGAGCAACATAAGGTTGGTCTCGGAACTGGGATTGTGTCTTAGATTGTGAATACTGAACTGAGGGTTGCGAAACAGTGTTAACAGCAGGTTGGGTAGCGGTCTTGGGAGCAGAATTGACAGAGACTGAGAAGGGTTCAGTAGATTGAGCTTTTTTAAAACGCTCAAGACCTGCTCTACCATACATTCTAGGTTCCCCTTCGTTACCAAACACAGTTCCTCAATATGATTCCTGGACTAAACAGCACCATAATGTGGCATTATCATCGACAAACAAACCGACCAAGATATCCAAATTTGCATATTTTTCAAGTGAAGACAATCAACAAGCTCAAGCAGCACCACACCCTCGCATCCAAAACCCTAAATCCAAATTCTATATAGGAGAGTTTGTAGCAAATACTTATTTGCTACAAACAAAAGTAACTAAAAGAGTGACATTGAAACTAAAAATCTACACTTGTCAATCAAAACACCCAGATTTCATTTACAAAGTTACCATGAACATCAAAATCTGACTCAAAAACCAAAACTAAAAGATTTTGGATTCAAAAGAAGCAAACTTTACATCACCCTTTTGCAAGAAACAGCAGTAAGCAGTATTTAATTGGGGAAAAAATAGAGAAAGAAAAGGATGCAAATTGATCCCATGATCAGATACCAACTGAGAGAGCAAAAAAGAATTCGTCTTTTTTAAGCTTTTAATCTAAACAACTAAGGAGTTGGACTTTGGGGAGTTTACCTGAAGCTGTTTTTAGTGGGATGTGACGGTGTTGGCTTTGGAGGGAGAAAGAGAGGGAGAGGAGATCGACGCAGCAACAGCAGCGAGCCCAGGTAGAGAAAACAAAGCTGCTTCCTTTTAAGGCTCAAGCCCTGATTTTCCCTGTCTGTTTCTTTCTTTCTTTTTAATTTTTTATTTTTTTAACATAAAATCTTGATTATATTTATTATTTTACAGAGATCTACCATGTTTTATTTTAATACCAAACAAATCCTTGCTGAGTCGTTCCTTTCTCTAAGAAAAGGGTTAATAGCTCAAATCTTAATTATATAATAAAATACTTTTTAATCTTTGAATATACTGAAATTCATACTATATATTTGATGAGATTTTAGGCGAATCCACCAAAATTAATTATATAATTTGCACATAATTTAAAAAGTTAAATGCATATTCAAATATAAATTTATTATCATAGGTGCTGAATAGCTTTGGGATGAAAATGATAAAATTAATTGTTTATTGATGAAATTGATAATTGAGTAGAACGCCGATGACGATAATGAAGTCTTCCTATATTTTTATTCTTCTTTTCTTTATTTATTTGTATTTTTAGTTGAAAAAAGAAAATCTCAAATCAGATATTCAGTTAGCTAAGGATTTAAGAAATAATCTTTGATATAAAATAGATGATCAATGACGTAAAAATAATTTCAAGCTTAAATTTTTAATATATTTTTTTATGGGAATATTTATTTTATATTAAATCAACACAAGAAATTATTAGATTAATTTAGATCGCTATTAAAAGTTATAAACTAAGTTAATAAAATTTAATTTATCCATGTCATTTTATAATTAATACGTTATTTATTATCTTATTTTATAATTATAATTGTGATATATATATATATATATATATAATTACATTTCAAATGTCATAATTTCTCATCAGCCTGGGAATAACAGCGACTGCGTGTCAGCACGGGAATCACTAATTTAGAGATTACAACCTTTTCCACGTGTTTTGTTTTAACTAATAATTTATAGCTTTTTAATACACACAATCTCTAGACCGATGGCAATGCCCTGATGAATGGACAGCGTGTGTTGGTTTGCTGCTGAAGGTGTATATATATATATGTATGCAAACAATCAGCCATCTCCAACTAAGCCCGTCGCACAAAATACACAGAAGTAGCCTGAAAACCATTCATTATCTATTCACAAACTCCTTCTCGACTAGACTAAAAATCACCTTCAGGCGATCTTGCAGATTTGAGAGAATGTTCTTTGAAATCCTTTTTTGATGCCGGGTGCTTTTCAGCCATGCAACTCCAATGGATACACGCACATGACAGCCTTTCAGTCTTGAGGGAAAATCCTCAACTTGATATCTCAGGTGAAGCTTCAAAAAAATGAAAGAAAACAGTCAATTAAAACACACCACAAACAGAAAATAAAAGCCAAAAGTGAGGAGCAGAATTAATAGCATCAGAAACAAAGATAGCTACAGAAGATACAGTCACAGTGTAAGCAATCAAAGTTCTGGCCATACATTAAAATAGTCACCCAGTGGAACTCCATGAAGAGTCATAACCTCTTCGACAAGCCAACCTTTCCTATCAGAGAGGGGGTATTTCTGCTGTGTACTTGTGACATCTCCTCCAAAACGAGATACACGCTTATCAAATCTGTAGTATATTTGCCTCTCATGTACATCAGTCTTCACCGATTCCCATGGCGTGTAAGAATAGCTAAGACAACCAGCTTTCTCCATCACTTTACGATCCAATTCACCCCCACCAAACATCTCCATTACGAAATTGGTCTAAAACATGATATCCACCATCAGACAAAGACAAATTTGCACAATGTGCAGACTAAGATAAACAAATCCAAAATGTACAGGAATGATCATGGCATGTACAAATATATGCACGAAAGCTCATACAATGAGGAGAGAGTGAGCTTACAGGGACAGAAAATGAAGCAGCATAAACCTCAGACATGCTGACTTCCTCAAGACCCAAGAAAGACCCACTCTCCTCCGTTTGAAGAATTTTGGTTTCTGAATCTTCTTCAACTATTTGCACCTTCTGTTCAAGACTCAATGATCTGGCCTTCCACAATGCCATGATTGTCCTGCTCAGTGCAAAAAAAAAACAAGCACAAATTAAATTATATATGTCATAGATGACCAGCTCTTATCCATTATTGTCACATTTATGATGATAAAATAGTTTTCTGTATCAGAAAGACCAAAGGTCTTATATATCATTTGTTACTAACCTATGTGCTACATTAAAAGATACAAAAGATTGGAAATGGAACTTCAGCCTCCCTTCATCATCAATATTCTTTGCTCCATGCCTGGCGTCCATACCCCTGCCTTGTCGAAGAGTTATAACAATAACTGGACTACCCATTGATGATAGAGTAGGAGTATAAATTTGAATGTCCTCTATGTCCTCCCAAAGAAAGAAAAATTTAGTCTTTTGCCGAAATAAATTTGCATAGAATCCAATTATTCTTGCTGACAGAAACAGCCGACCCTGAAAGATACAATCAGAAGTCATACTAAAAAACTTAAGAAGGCGACAACATTTAAACTTGTAGATAACAAATTTGAGATGACATAGTTACACGAACAGCACCTGTAATGGCATCTTTCGTTTCAAGTGACAGGTGAAGTCATTGATTAGGAATTCCTCTGGTGGAAGCCCAAAAACCTTTTGGAAGGCTGAATTTGTTTGAGGAGAACGCACATTTATCTACAAAAAATCCCATTAACAATTTAAGTGGGTAAGAAAGCATAGGCAGAATACATACAAAATATACAGTACATTAACAAAGTAAAACACTAATGCAGAATTGCCAGCCATTTACCTTCTTCCCCACCTCTTTCTCCATCTTACTTAAGTACTCTTTAACAACATTGCTACCTCTCGTATTGTTCAAGAAAATCCTTAAGTGCAGCTTAGACTGACATGCTTGTGCTAACTTTCCTTGAAGAGGAACCCACACATCAGCTAAATCTGATAAATTAGATTTTACAAAATTAATCTCTGTATGTCCCAAGGACATGGCTTCATCAAAAGGTCCATCAAAATCATAAACATCCACATCCAGCACAGAAGGAGGGTCATCCATGGCATCAAATTCGAATATTTCTGCAACATCCAAGGCATTTCATTACAATGATCAATTAAAAGATGGTTTGAATCATAATTATCATTGAATCTAAAAGCATTTCAATATGAGGATCGCACTATCCATACAATTTCTAAACAGTTCAGGAAAAAAAAATGCATATCTATAAATGGAAAATTGATAGACAAACTGACCATTCCACAGAGGATCAGATTTCTGAAACTTGATAGAGCTTGTTTTAGTTTTCCCATTGCAGGTGAATACCACGTATGGGTCGCAGAAGCCACTTGAATCAACAGTAGGCAAATGACTTCCCTCGATCAAGGCAACTGTAAGCAGCCAGCCATCTCCTTGTGCTTTGACTCCATGATCAGTGCCTATAATTGGAAACAGAAGAAAAGGCCAAGAATCAGCAACACTAACAATATAAAGTTCAATTTGTCAAAACAAACAATAGTTAAACAACATACAGATACCTCAGGCATTCAGCCAAAGACAGAAAATGGAATTGCATAGTTATTGGTAGTTTATGAAGACATGCAGAAACGAGTTTGAATATTACCCTTTTGAGCTCTAGCCTGCATGAAGCGTGAAAGTAACCCTAACACCCTTTCACACTGAAGAGCCAGGACACTACATACAAGGACTTCACCAATTGAATCTGGCAAGTCAAGCCCGAGAAACTCGAGCCCTTGAATTGCATTTGGTGCAGCTAGCCAGATGTGCACAAACACATACAGTCCCATAAAAAACGCAGAAACTACAGTAAAGTTACCAAAATACCGTACAGCCAGCTTCCTGTCTGATTGGGGTTCTGCCTTCAATGAAGCCAGAACCTGTTCCTTACTGGATCCCACGTCCTTCAAATCAACTGGCTTAACATTTTGAGATAAAAACGTTGAAAATAGCTCAAAACTGTCCTTTAGACCTGCACGGGCTCCATTTTCTATCATGCTTTTAAACATGGTACTCTGTAAAAAATTCATGCGCCAGGATATAACCAAATGTGAAGTTTCCTCTCCTGATGGCAACTCAGGACCAGGTGTAATGCAGTAAAGCAATTCGACTTTAAAGGTGCTCCCATACATAACATCCGGAGTGCTCACACAATTCAAAATAGCAAATGTCTTCCCATCTACTTTCACATAAATCTGGTCCTCACTAGCTTTCACAGCACCAACTAACTTGGATGGTGCCCTAACATAAGTAATTACTCTTTTCAAGCTCTCACTACCATTCTCAAATTTCCAAGGACCAAATTGCTGTTCTGAATTTCCCAGGAAGTCTGGCAATGATCTGGCAAAACTCGAATCAGGTGAAAACAAAAGAGAGTTTAAATCTGGGGTTGCAATCAAATACGATTGATCCACAAGGACTCCTCCTGGTAGGTTCTTTGGAACTTCACTTCCTACATCTCTAGATTTCATCTCTTTCATAAGTTCTTCAAAGTTGACAGAAGAGGACTGGTCCTCGGCCTTATCATCACAAACCTCAGATCCATCAGTTTCTGATTGCTCTGAAATTTCAGTGCTTCTACTTGTAGTGGCTGAAATCGCATCTGAATTTTTGTTAAATATTTGAGCAATTCTCCCAGCTAAATTTTTCTGTGCAAAAAACTTGTCTTCTTTAGATGAAGCAGTTTCTTCTGATCTAGCTGAAGAAGAGTTGGTCATCCCATTAAATGACCTAGACGGAGATTGCATTATGTCCACATTCTTCCTCGAACCATTGCAGTTCAATTCAGGAATAGATTGAGAAACACATATACTTAAAAGAATTTCACCTGTTGGAGAAACAAAAGATGAAGCATGGAAATTCCAATCAGTAATGTCATACATCAATTGTGCCGGGACAAAAATTTAGAGAAAGCAATGTACAATGTAAACTCTAAAGTTTATCCCAAAGCCAGATCTTATACTAGGTTATAAATAAAAAAAAAAAATCAGAATCAAGCACGCACACAACTCAATCAAAACTCTAACATCAAACAGGATTCGGTCTTAGCAAAGGACAGCAGATTAAGATGGAAACAACCAACATCCAACCTAAGCATTAATACTAAAAGAGGACTGAATAGCTTTCACAAATCATACACTTTAAAAAAGACGACCACATAACTGCTGGAAAAAGAAGAAGAAGCAAGACTTTAGTTTTACTAGAAAATCAAAACATACCACATTCCTTGATCTTAGACTTCTTGTTTTTGGGTTGCAGAGAGTACCAAGCAGTGCCAAGAGACTTATCTTCCGCATCAAAAACTCGCGATACAGGAACCTTAATCAGCCCAACAAAATCGTCATTAAAGAACTTGTCTTCATCTAATACACACACTACAAGATCCTCATTCAAGTCCCCCACTTTAAAACTGAACTCTTCTTCCCAACTTGGGTTCAAGTTCTTCTTCACCACTTTGGTCTTGCACTTCTGCTTCCCTAACCGCAACTTGGCATATGGATCACTTAGGCCATTTGGATCCGTTGGTGGCAAATTCCTTGCCTCTATCACACGAACAAAAAGCCTCAATCCTCCCATAGTATACAACCAAAAGGCTTAAGCTTTACCCAAAACTGGATCAAAACCACTAATATTTTGCACCAAAAATATAATATCACCACCACGAACAAGTCTTTCTTGGAGCTTCTTATTTGGAAGAACCAGCAAACAAGTTCCACATCATACTTCAGACAACAACAACAACAGACAAAACCCAAAATCTTTTTAACGTGAAATCCTTAAAAAGCTGTTACATGAAGCGAAATTGATAAACTTCAAAAAGGTTCTTCTTGGATTGTTTTCCAAAGTAACATGACAAACTGTATCAAGACTGGAAGTTTTCTTAAAGAAAAAGAAATTAAGAAATCTTGTGATAACTATGATCTGATAAGGAAACAGAAGAGAAACCAATGTGATTAGCAGGATAATTAAAATGAACAAAAATAAAACCAGAAATCAAGGAGATTAAAAGGGTAATTAAAATGAACAAAAATAATAACAGAAACAAACAATGGCCGAAAACAAACGGAGAGATAAATGAATTGAAATAAGCAAAAGATTATTTATTTTGGCAAGAAAGATAAACCCCAAAAGGAAAATTAAAGAAAGAAGAAGATCGTTAAAGGGAAATGTTTTTTTTTTATAAAAAACAAAAAGAAGAAGAAGAAAGACGATGACTTTCTTCGTCTGCCTTCAAAGACTTAACTACTTATTATTATATTACCGCAAGATTGCGCGTATGATATTTGACTTTGACTTCAAGGACTGCCCTTTATCATAAGGTGGATCACATTGACTCACCATTTCTTTTATCATATAGTTTATAATATTATATACATATACATATAAAATAAAGTTGGATCATAAAATAATTATCTGACTAATTTTATTTATTTATTTTTTGAAACAATCAAGGATTTTGTTAAAGATCGAGGGGTTGTCTTTCTTCAATTAATCAATAGACATTGCTAGCAATAATGTTTAGATCTTCCTTTCTTTTCTTTTTTTGGTTTTAACAGTTAGAGTATTAATTGTAATGTTTTTCTCATATTTGGTTTTAACAAGTTATTTACACTTAAATTAATATGTTTATTAATTTTTTTATATGTAAATTTGGTTTTAACAAGTTATTTACACTTATTAATAACTTGAGATAACAATGAGAATGTAGAATTGTATATAACATACACACACATGAATATTTAATCAAAAGTATTTTTAAATTGAGTTAAATTTTATTCTTAAAATGATTTTAATGATGTATTTAGTTTTATTTTTTAAAAAATTAATATTATAGTAGCTCCTGTTTTTTTCAAATTATAGAAAAAATCATGTTGTTTGTCAAATAACTTTTTTAAATCTTGATTTTATAGAAGTTAAGATAATCTGATTTTTATTTATAAAGATTTGTTTTTCATTTATTTTACATGTAAAAATTTATATGGCAGCAGTTTTAACCGAATATATATTTATTAAAACCTCAACTAAAAATATTTTTTAAGATATTAACCACAAAAACTATCACAATACCAAACATATTTAGATAGTATTTGAGATTGTAGTGTAATATGTTTTTCAAAGTATTTTTTTTAAATATATTAAAATAATATTTTTTTTATTTTTAATATCATCATATTAAAATGATCAAAAAGATATTAATTTCAAAACTTTTTAAAAAAATATTTAAAATTTTAATAAAGCGTGTTCCAACCACATTCTAAATAGTGTCTTAATGTTTATTTAAAAATTTAAAAAATATTTAAAATTTTAATAAAACGTGTTCCAACCACAATTCTAAATAGTGTCTTAATGTTTATTTGATATTATAAAATAAGATTTTTTTAAAAAGTATTTTTTAAAATTTTAAAATTAGCAAATCAAAAACACTAATGAATTTATTAAAAGTAACTAAAAACAAAAAACTACTAATAGTACCTGAGTCTTGGCATCTTAATCATAAAAGCAAGGATTCTTTAGAATTGAGGTCACTTTTTATTGATTAATATTCAAGATTTATTATGCAATTGATGGGGGGATTCTAAGAGAATAAAGTCATGTTAGGAGATAGTATTTGGTTGGTCATTGATGAGCTAATTTGGGAGGAGGAGTGGACTATATATATTAAAAGCTCATAGACTTTTTCAGAAGGAATAATAATAATAAAAAGAACTGCAAGTAAATGGGTGCATGTATTCTACTTCCGGTTGGTGTCTTCTCCCACCGAAGAAAATAAAATAAAAATGGCAGCCACGTTTGATTAGACCACTAAGTGATAAACATAAATTGAGTTTTTTTTTTATTCTAGCATAATAAATTTTTTTGACAAAATAACATAATAAAAAAATTTAGAGAAATAATATAATTTAAAAGGTCATAAATAATATTTATAATTCATAATTTATAAATATACCTTCTTAAACATTATTGAATAAAAAATTTTATGAAAAGAAAGTAAAGAAAAAAAATCCTAAAAATATACCGAAACATCAAAGAAGACATTATTGGTATTATTAAAAAACATTTAATAAAAATAATTTAATAATATTAAAAAAATATCACAAGCGTTAGCTAGAATGGAAAAGTGAGTCCTTAACACCTTTAAATGGCTAATATAATTTATTTTATTTATTATTTATGATGTATTTAATTGAATTTATTTTATTAAATTTTTTTTAATAATATTATTAATATTTTCATCAAAGTTTAAGGGTATACCCAGAATTTTTTGTTTATTACCACTCTGTTATTTTATTAAAATTATGTTTTACTATGTTAGAATTCTAAAAGGTCAAAGAAAGTTAGCCAATCATTAGGGTCAAAGCACTCAGCCATTGATAACGGTTAAGCACCGTCAATTCATGCCCCAAACAATGGCAGAGAATAAGAGAAATGGCAGAGCCCTTCTCCACATTCAACCTTCTATGGTCGATTTTATATGTATATGCTATCTAATAATACTGTTGATGTTGATTACTTGAATAATTCTATTATTAATATAATTAATGGGAATTTGTTTTATCATACATTTTATTTTTATTGGTTTTGGAATTACGGTGCAAGACATTTTTAAAAATAATTTTTCCCTTGAAAATATATTAAATTTTTTTTTTAATATCAGTAAATTAGAAAAATAAAAAAAAACTAAAAACATGAATTTAATATTTTTTTAGAGTAAAGTTCACTTTAAAAAAAATACTTAAAATAAAAGGATAAATTGTACCAAACACCCCAGAAACCTCAAACCTGGATTTCATTATTAATGATGTGTTAATTTTGAAGGAATAAAAGCTAGATAATAAAAAAAAAAATTATCCAACTTGACCATCAAGATTCCAAGAACTGAAAAATCTATCATCTTCTTCTCTTGCTAACAACAATAACGTTGATGATGGAAGCGGGAGAGATGGATTAGATGTTGATTATTTTAACCTTGTTAATTTCTCTCTAGTTGTTTCTCTTAATTAACAAGGAAGCATATTATGAATTCGAGTATGGATGGCAATTGCGATCTAGATTGTCACAGGAAAGCTAGTATTCTTTCAAGACTTTGAACATGCATGGACCATGTTAATCATCATGATTATCAGTCTAAATTAAAGAAGACACAGTCGAGTTGTTGTGATAGTGAAACAAGTAGACTATTAGAGAAGTTGTTCCTTGAAGGTTTTTGCTATCCTATGCCTCTCGCAATCTTTCTTGAAAAACAATAATGAAGAAGGAAGTTCATACTGATGATAATGACTCACGAGAGGAAGCTGGCCATGATGAAGAAGAGGATGATTTTTTGAAGACTCGTGCTAGAGTAGAAGAGTTTGCTGTAGATTTCTTGGCGTGTCTACAAGCCAGAAGAGTGATTCATAGGACCAAGTTGAGGAACACACCACATGTAAGTTTTTGAAAAGCTGGTATCAGTGTTTACACCAGTTGATCTTATTTTTGTTTGGGACTCATTGTCTTTTTTGTTCCCTTTCCTGGACTTCGCGAGCTTCAAGTTCTAAGGGATGGGATCCAGATGGCTTGGCAGATGGGATTCTGAAAAAGCACTTTACTTTTTCAGTGTTGGGCCCTTGTAGTGCAGAGGATGCGTGCTAGATCTTTGCAGGTCAAGTTGAAGCTTGTCCTTCGTCAAGGTGATTGAACCCTCTTGTTTAGTTATGTGCTATTAATTGAGTCAACTGAACCTTATATTATACGATTTCAGCCAAATTAGATAGAGTTCAATGGGTTTAGCAGAAAGAATATAAGCCATTAACACAACTTTCCAACCATTGAAGGTAAGAAAGTTGACTCATATTCAGCAGGAAAACAAATAAATTAACTGCTACCAGTTCATGAATTGAAATTGAAGTTTTCATCGAGTTGTACTCGGCTAATGATCACGTATGGAATCAAAGATGAAGGTAGCTTTTAGAGTTATAGTTTGAAAAAATAATTTTTTTTAAAAAAAGCTATAAATTGTAGACTTCTCTTAACTAAGATTTCAAGAAAGAGTTTTCAGCGAAACCACGCAAAATTGCAGTGTATATTGGCTAGCTAAACACTTTAAAGACGCAGACAGCTTCATTCTTGTTAATGATGAAGCCAAAGTCTCTGCAAAATTAGATAAGTCAGACAGCTTCATTCTTGTTAATGATGACCATTGTTTATTCAATGATACGTAAGCACCAACAATACCAAGATTGTTTGAGTGATGGGATGCAAGAAGAACAATCATCCTCAATTAGGAAACTACAAATACAATTTTGGGGAAAAAAAAAGCCTTGCATTGTTCGGCATCATCCATTCTTCTGCTGATGGTTCTCTATTTCTGCCTCTGGCAAATTTTAGCCAAGAAGGACTTCAACACTGCTTTGCTAGGATGATCTTCAATAGAAGTTATCAGCTTCTCATAGGTTTTGGTCTCGGAGTCCGCAAATACACCCTATATAGTCAAAATACGAGATTATTATCTATAAGAGAAAGGAAAACTCAAGGACAGAATACCACATTGTCTGTATATCCGAACAAGTTTGCCGATCAACTCATAAAAGGAAAGCTACATCTTTACACATCCATGCAAAGCAAAACACTTGTACAGTAGTATATGCTATCGTTTGGAGAATTTTAAGCACTTTCTACTTGAGATCAAGTTCAAACCTGAAGGTTCAGATCATTATACAGGGCCTTCACTTGTGCTTCATTCGCTGGGTCAGGTTTCCCATAGTTTTCCTGGAAGGACATAACACAGTCAATAGACAAACCTTACCTCACTTCCGAAGTTTTCATCAGAAAATAGCAAAGTGAATAGAGCAATACTCTACTCTTACATGTAACAGTTTCTTTTGCTCTTCATTGCAAATCTCCATACCCTTCACAACCAAGCAAGAGCACTTAAAATCTTCAATATCTGTTCCTATTAGATATCTGTAAGAGCTGCAGTCAATTAGATAAACAGATTACCTTTTCTTTATTCTTCTTCTTCTTTTCTTCATTTCCTCCATGGATTTTGTTCATTACAACATCTCTTATCCATAATATGAGCTCACCTTACCAATTATCTCTGGATCACCAAAGCAATCCAAGCAATCATCCTGCACGAGAAACATGAAAAGGTGATGACGTGCATGAAGAATCTATCTGAGAAAAGAAAGATACGTTGCAGTCACTATTAAAAGAAAAAAAGAAAGAACGAAATTTACTTGTAGTTGGAAGTAGGTTCCCATCTCAACAAGAATGTTCTGTGCATCAACATGGTTGTCTAGATTCTCACCCGCCATGAGCAATGCACACCAGCATGAGTAAATTCAATGGTCGAACGCCAGATAATAAATCTGATTGATACATCTCCAATGTGGAAAATATGAATTGACCTATATAAATTGGCTTGCCATTTAGGGGGTGGAGATGGTCAGGGAGAACCGCAATAAAAGAATTCGTTTGCAGAAATCACAGAGAGTCCTCGGTTCAGCTTCCCTGGAAAACATATTGCAATTGTTGATTTAACGATTCGATTGCTTCCTCCAGGCTGGTAAATAGTCACAAACGTTTAAAATAAACTTGTTTGTGAGGGATGATTTTCCAATTCAACTCCTACCTCCAGGCACAATATAGTCCACCATCTGCAGCAGAAAAATGAATATAAAAATTAGGAAAAAGAAAAGGTTAACCTGCATACATTGTAAGGTCAAACGTACAAGTACTTCAGCAAACTCCCCAGACAAAATCTCCACCCCAAGTTCACAAACAAGCAAAGCTAAGGTGGCCTCGATACAATCTATAACAGTATAAAACCATCATCCAAAAGTGCTTTTGGGCTGCTTTGAGGATCATTAGGCCTGCTAATCATGTCCAAGATTTTCCCAGTGCAGTACTTGGGGCATTATAGATGCAGAACAAAGGAACCTTGCAGTGGTGGAAAGAATTCAAGATCAAGAACATGCAAGGCAAAGTTTGGCTTTGGGGCACTTTTATTTCACAGATTCTCCACAAAATCAATAACTTTCTCTCAAAACGTCACCACTAACCAAAGAGATTCTCATATTTTCTGCTCAACTTACAACCTCTATCCATTAATTTAGTGCATCAAAATCATTCTTGGTTCCGCTTCACACACACCAAACAAACCAACAAGCCATCAAAACAGCATTTTCAGGCTCAAGATTCACAATTGAATTCTAATTTCCAATCAAATCAAGCAAAAACAATTGCACCCCAGAACGGAGAAACACAAAGATTGAAGCTTTCAACAAGAGATAAAAAAGGAATCAATGCCCTCTCGACCCGTTCACGAGAATCAGGACTCCATTCAAAAGCAGGATCCTGAAGAAGCTCTTTCTTGAGGACAGAGAAGACATTCAAGAAGGTTGACTTAAGATCTGCCATGGCTAATTACTCTCTGTCACAGATGTTAGAGGAGAGACTGACAAGACACAGATTGTGGTGAAGATTATAATCTTTGAGTAAATGTCCCCTCCTTCCTTACATAGAGGAAGAAAAATGGTGTAGTTTACTACATTTTGTTCTTGTTGGCTTCCATGATGATCTGTGTTTTTTTTTTCTTTTTACGAAAAAAATAGGATGAGAAATGAGAGAACAACTGTTTGAATTCCATGTCAGGTTTCTTAATTGGTCCATGTTTCAATCTAGCTACACCACTTGAGATTCTTAAGGATTATTCAACAATTAATTGTTGAATAATTAGTCTGCTAATGCACCCACATACAAATTTAATTTGTTTTATTTATTTTCTTTGCATGAAAAAGATAAAGAAGCATGGGCTCTCTATGGTCTCTGAAACTCTTCTTAGATCACAGATGCTTCGAATCCTATTCTGCATTCATTTTGTTTGGAAAACTAGAAATAAATAACTGGATATGAATCTGCTCGGATTAATTTATAATTTATAAATTTTAATTTTTTTTTATAATTAAAATTAGAATCAAACAATCACCAAATATAAAGCAACAATCATACTACTTAACATCAAGATTTTTACATGAAAAATTTGATACGAAAAAAACCACAGAACTGTAGATCACCTAAAAACTTTCATTATTAATAAATAATAAATTTATAATTATTCTTTTTTAAATTCAATTTTTACATGAAAAATTTGATACGAAAAAAATCACAGGACTGTAGTTCATCTAAAAACTTTCACTATTAATAAATAATGAATTTATAATTATTCTTTCTTAAATTCAACTAAGAACTACAACATATATATCATTAAGAACAATTTATTTTTGAAATACAATAAGATTAAAAAAAAATATTTGAGAAAAACTCATAATACTGACAACTCTATTTTCTGTCAAAAATGATCAACTTCTCCACCATCAATTTTTATTCTAATTATTGAGAATGAATAATAATATGTTTAGAAACTGATGTCAAAATCTCGGTCCGATTCAATGATAAACAAGCTAGAAATTAAAGGAAAAAATAGTTAATTTAGCTGTCTCAACTTTTTTTTTAAAATTTTTTTAATTAAAATTATTATTGTATTTATAGTACAGCTATATTTAAATTAAAAAAAATTAGTTTTTAATAATTAATATGATGATACTATCATATAACGGTGATGACACACAACACATTTATATTCCCATCAAAATCCTAGCTCCAAATGATCGTAAAAACCACGCAAAATTTATTCCAATTTACTGTGGTCAAATCTCAAATGGCATGAAGTGCGGGGCACTGAAGTCCATTGAACAGAATGTGATGCCATTAGCAATATAACAAGTGAGAAAGCAAGTTGCTTATTCGTATCTCCCTTGGTAAGAATGAGCCGTCAGGTTGGAGTTTGGCATTTTATGCTATCTGACAATTGAAGTGGCAGCTGCCGCTGTTGATAGACATTATTATTCTTGGTATTTGTTTATATATATATATATATATATATATGTTGTTAGATTATCAAAACATTATATTTTGTTACACATAGTAGGAGGTATATTTTTAAATAGTTTGAAAATAAGACTTAATTTTTATTGACACGTCAATTAGTTTAAAAATGCTTTTTTTGTTGGGAAAAATCATTTTTATCATTCAGAACCATATTATAACTATTATTCCATTGCCATCCTAATGGCAGACCTTGAGTATGTTGGATTTTCATCTGGGCTAGCTCCATGTGGATTCTGCTTCACATTTTGGGCCAGCAAGATGTCTACAAGGCTTGTGGTTTGATCCACTCGGATGCTTCACTTCCATCATCCAACCACTTGCTGCCAATTGTCAAAGTCCGACAACTCCACCAAACACAAGTGTAACACGAAAGTGGCTTCCAAGCATCACATTCCAAAGCTGCAACATTTATTCTCGCGCTTCTCTCTGCTGCTGCTCCTGCTGCAAACTTCATAGAATGAACACTGCAAAAAGAGCTGCTCAGCTTCTCTCAACTCAGAACATCAGGTCCCTCTTCGACTCTGTTGAAGCCTTTCTCTTTGACTGTGATGGTAAATGAAGTCCTTTTTCCTCTTCATTTTAAAAAATGTTTTATTTTCATTTATTTGCTAGAAATGGTGATTATGGTAGCAGATTTTGTCTTGATTTTGAGTCTGTGAGATTAATAATGTTTGCAGGTGTCATTTGGAAAGGAGATAAACTCATTGATGGGGTCTCTCAAACATTGGACTGGCTTCGTTCTAAGGGAAAGAAACTTGTTTTTGTGACCAACAATTCATTAAAATCAAGAATCCAATATGCCAAGAAGTTCCATTCACTTGGAATCTCTGTTGCTGAGGTCTGTTTCTATGGCATTTTGTTGATAACAGTTGTGTTTAAATCTCTTTCTTGCCGTGTATTTTGAATTTTGTAATGATTGTAGGATGAGATATTATCCTCCTCTTTCGCGGCGGCGATGTACTTAAAAGTCAATAACTTTCCTCAGGAAAAGAAGGTTTGATGCTACTTTTAGACACCCTTTTGATCACGTTTTCAGTTCTTGATTTATGCCTGAACAAATTCTTCGCTGGCTCATAGGATTGACTTTAAATTGTGTTAATACTGGTAATGTTTCGGTGTTGGTGCTATCACAATTTTTACACGACCCAGTCAATGGGTTTGCATCTTTCTTTGAAACTGTGTTTGATTGGATGATAACAAATTGCTGTACAGACGATTTCTTGTGTTTAATTAGCACAGTTAGCTTTGTGTATGCAGTTACTCATCTGTTCTTTTTACAGGTTTATGTGATAGGCGGGGAAGGTATATTGGCAGAGCTACAGCTCGCTGGATATACTGGTCTTGGTGGCCCTGTAAGTCCTCCAAATATTCGCAATTGATTTCAATACATCTTTCCATTCTTGGGCTGTCATCTAGCATACCACTAATGTTTGGAATTGAACAAAAAGTTCATCTTACACACAACTCAGTGGTCTTTTAAACACTGTTTCTTCATTGAAGTTGCTTCTCTCTATTGTCTATTAACCGTGGGCTGCATACATGCTCCCAGCCTTTTATCATTTCTATTAGACTATGCTTTGCATAATTTGTAACCATCTTTCTCCTTCCCTTCCTCACTTTCTCTCTGAGTTTTCTTATCAGCAGAGTGAAATATTCTTGTGTGGCTAGCTACTTATTTTATGCTGGAGAATAGTAGCATAACAAAAGAGTTCACATAACCCAACCTTCCTCGCCAAAAGACAATGAGGAACTATTAGGTTCCTTGAAAATAATGACATAATTTTTCCTCCATCTATAAAAATTTTGAAGGTACCTTTTCCTTGTTGGAAGGAGGCTTACCTTTTTTTCCTCATAGATGGTTCACTTACCACACTTTTATCTTCAACATTGTTCTATCCCTTGCCATTGCAGATGTTCATCCTCTTATCTAACATTGAAGTTTTAGCCATCTTGTCCTTGCTGTTACTTCCTTATAGCTTACATTTAGTCTTGAAGGAAGTGACCCTTTTAACTGTGTTTTTTCTTTAACCAGAACCACAATTTACCATTTGCTCTTGTTTTAAACAATATTCTGCCACCGATTTATTTCAGGAAGATGGTGAAAAAAGAGTAGAGCTGAAACCAAATTCCCTCTTTGAACATGATAAGAGTGTAAAGTAACATCTTGCCTGCAATTTCTTTATTTTGTTCGTTTTGCCTGTTTGAGTTTTGTAATGGTGCAACTCCTGTCTCAGGTTGGAGCGGTTGTGGTTGGAATAGACCCACACATCAACTATTACAAGCTTCAGTATGAGATTCTAGATACTACAACCCCTCATCTACCATGTTAAATTAACTACAGTGTGATTCTCTGTCATGTTCTTTACAAATTTAATTAGAACAAGATGCCCTTACAGCAATTTGAAATTGATGTCTGAAGGCAACAGCAGAGCATGAATTCACTAGTCAACTTCTCTCATATTCAAGGATAAAAATATTTCCTGCAAATTGATCATTAGCTAAGCTGCCAAGGTCGGTATAGGTCTTAGGTATTTCCTTTGTTAAAAAATGAAATGACAATTCAATACAAAATCTGTCACATTTATGTTATTCTGGAATTGATTCTACAAGAAACCTCTTAGTTGATAGATAGCAAAATACCAATAAGTACAGAGTTTTATTAAACTACATCCTTATTGGTTTAAGATAAATATTGAATTGGCAGGTATGGAACCTTATGCATACGTGAGAATCCTGGTTGCCTTTTTATTGCTACGAATCGTGATGCAGTGGGACATATGACTGATTTACAGGAGTGGCCTGGTAAGCAATTATAGCTTATATTGTAAGATCATGTGCCTTGCAGTTTCGCCTCTTTAATTTTGGTTCTGGGTTTCAGGTGCGGGCTCTATGGTTGCTGCCATGTGCAGTTCAACAGAGAGAGAGCCTATTGTAGTTGGAAAACCATCAACATTTATGATGGACTTCTTATTACAAAAGTAAGTTTATGGGATACTTTTGCACATTATTCTTCTTCACCCTTTAGCTTCTGTAGATTGGCACTCACACAGATGCATCACCTATTTGGGGGTCTGGATGCCTCAAAAGATGGGAGACACAACTCACTAGGGTTATAACCCCATGTAGAATCATAGGTCCAAACTAACTCCTTGATGCACTGGAAATACTATATGCCAGCAACATAACCATGGATCCCCATTTCATGCTATGACATGATTACAGACTTAGTAATAATTTATACTCTCCTATTTCCAGAAATATTTTGTAAATGATATGCATGGTGCGTCTTCTGTTTTTTAGGTTTCACATCAATACCTCCAAAATGTGTATGGTGGGTGATAGATTAGATACTGATATATTATTTGGACAAAATGCTGGCTGCAAAACTCTCCTAGTTCTTTCAGGTAGACTGATTTCTCTTGTTTCTGCAGTTCCTCTTTTCCGAAATAGAATGTTAACTCAAATCATGCTATTGCTGCAACTTGCAGGGGTAACAACTCAAACCACTCTTCAAGATCCATCAAACAGTGTCCAGCCAGATTATTATACAAGCCAGGTGTCTGACTTGCTTCACTTGCTGGGACCATAACCTCATTACTCGCCTGCCTGTCATTCGTACCAGCATGTTAACAGTGCTGGTAGTCGATTCCTATTTTGACTCTATTAAGTCTCAGAGTTACTGAACGTTTTTACTGGCGTTTTCTCACCTTTGATGCCACTTTCTCAGCATTTGAGAAAAATAATAATGCTATCACCGTGCTGTTTCTGGCATGCAAAGCTATGTAGCAGAAACACTTATAAATGCTTATTCATAGAACCCTTGAAGTTCTTAATTACAATCTTTGCATCTTACACCAGTTTCCCAGTGGTAATCTTAAAGATATGCTGCTGTGAGTTAATA